GGACCTGGCAATGGAACACTGCGTGACTGTGATGCCACCAACTCGACTGTTAGACTAGACTCCAGAGAGAAGATAAATATTTATGACGAGCTCTGAAAGCAGATACTAATTTTTAAAGTGTTTTTTTTTTCTAGCACTAAAAAAGTTATTTTAAATCTTGAAAGCAACAGATGTATCACCTGAGAGTGTACTTCGTGAGACGTGAAGTCCCATCTTTCTTAATTCATTTAGTTTTCTCAAAGACAAATTGTGATTTTTATAGGACTATTTCCCGTAGTCGTGCTGCAGGGTTAAAGTAGATAGTATGATTTATTTGGTGGCAAAGTGGGTTTATAAATCAGGGGAGTAGTCACCTTTGTTACACACAGTGGGGACAAAATACTTCAGTGATATGAGTTCTTTAACTAATCAGTACAGGAGAAGCATCTTGTCTCTGTATTTGTTTCTCAGTGCAAAGTGTGCAGCCATATGTCCTTTAGGTAAAACAGGGAAAGCCTGGGACAGAGGGGTCATTGCAGCACAGCACTAAGGGCCAGAGTGCTTGGAGAATTTTTTTATTTTTTTTTTCCAGCAGAGTTGTTCACAGGGGTGGGGAAGGAAATCTCCTGTTTGGCTGGAATCTGCTATGGTGACATCTCCCAGAGGGGTCTGAGGAGATTTGGTGGTTAATCCTCTCTTCCATTTGGGTAGGGGACCTTTGCAGATGAGATGCCCTGTTGGCAGAGCAGTGAAAGAAAAATCTGCCCTGCTGCTGACAGTGATCTGAGGGCTCCTGAAAAAAGCAGGAGCAGTAGCCTCTGGGGTTAAAAGATGCTTCTTGCTTGGGGCCAGCCCTGATGTCTTCAGCCATCATCTGTATTCTCTGCTACTGTGCAGGCTACAGGGATCCCAGCACCTTGCCTGTGTGTTAGGCCTTGGTGGGAAGTTTCTCACCATCCCCATCCCTTCTTGTTGATTTTACCATAAAATCAACAGAGCTTTGCAGCCAACCTTATTTTCTGTTACAACAGTACAATGTTACGTGTGTGTTTCACATCATAACACACCCATTTAGTCTTACAGGAATGAAATAGTTTGTTCTGGGCAAAGTCCAGCTGTGCAGGAAACAAGATAATTTAAAGTTGCGGAGTAGGAACAAGGAGAAAAAAATTCCCATCATGTTGACTCCTTCCTCATCCTCTACTGCAAGTCCTTTTACGTGTTTATCACTTTTCCTTGATACTGGGTATTAGTTTGTTGTTTTACACAAACACACCCCTGAGATAAAACTGATTTATTAGGAGCTTTTACTGTGGAAAATTTTAGAGGTCAAAATATTAGTAACTACTTTCCCATTCCTCTCTGATTACACAAATCACTGGCGGGAAAATGATCATCATCGTCATTGAATCATCATAAAATGGTTTGAATTGGAGGGGATCTTAAAGATTATCTAGTTCCAACCCCCCTGCCATGGGCAGGGACACCTTCCACTAGACCAAGTTGCTCAAAGCCTCGTCCAACCTGGCCTTGAACAATACCAGGAATGGGGCAGCTTCTTCTGGGCAACCTGTGCCAGGGCCTCCCCACCATCGCAGGGAAGAATTTTTCCCCAGTATCTTATCTAACCCTGCCCTCTGTCGGTGTGAAGCAATTCCACCTTGTCCTATCACCGCTCTAATCGGGAAGGTTTTCTGCAGGTGTTTGTGTCTTCTTTGCATGACATTAAGCTGATCCAGCGGTGCAGAGACTCCGCTTGTGCTGGGAGAAACACTCCTCTTTGGAGCAGCTCCAGCCCTTGATTTTCTCCGGAGAGGAAATGGAATATGCGTCTGTACTAACAGTTTTCCAGCACCGCTCCGTAAAAAGTAAACGGGAGCCCCAGGAGTGATGCAGTTTTTGGCACAGAGCCGAGTCTAAACGCGGTGTTTTGGGGTGGTTTGGGGGTGGTTTTGGGCTCCGTTCTGCGCGCGGGGCGCCGGGCGCGGCCGGCAGGGGGCGCTGTGCCCTCGGCGCCGTTCCCGTTCTCCCGCCGGGCCTCGGGAAACCGGGAGAGTGCGGGGGGGTTGGAATGATGGCATCGAAACGCTGTTCCTCCCGCCGTTTGGATGCCAGCCCAACAGAGCAGCTCAGCTAAATTTTCAGGTGTTTTCTGAAGGGTTTTCTCCGAGGCGTTAACTCAGAGCCAGTGAAAACCAACTCTCTCCTGGTTACAGCCGCTGTGACTCGGGAAAAGCAGGACCCTGGCAGAAGTCCTGTACAGCAGGGACAAACTGATACCTCAGCTCGGCTGTCATAGAGAAATTATTAGCAAACTTGACAATAACTGAAAGAAATGGCTGTGGATCTGCATTTCCTTCCAACCTGTTTCCAGGATATTCTGTAACCTCCAAGTCTAACTTTTGTTCTCCCAAAAGAATTTTGAGATGGGAACTTACTAGCTGTTGGTGCAATACCTATTTTAAACTTGTGGCCTAAATGCCTGACAAAGGAGTTTGAGTTTACCTTTTCTTTTGAAAGCTGGTGTAAAATCTTGGTCAGGCTCCCCATCTTACCTCTCCATAATATTGTTTATGTGATATTCAACGTAATTTATGGTTTACAGCACATTTTGCACCAACTCTTCTCTTTCCCATAGAAAGAGTCAGGTTCTTTGTCCGACCTCTGAAAAGTTTGTGGGACTTGAATGTGAAAACAAATGAACTTCCAAGAACATCCGTATAAAAGCAGATGCCATGAACTTCCCTTTTTGTTTATTCCTTGTGAAGTCAGTGGCCCTGCTAACAGTCATCCAGATGCCTCCACGAAGTCAATGTTCTCACAGTGTAAACTAAATTCTTCCACTTATTGCCCAAGAAAATCATCTACTTGGTTTGTGTCTCTGATGCAGTGGGAGGTGCAGACACAGGGAGGGCACAGAGCCCTCCACCAGCGGGAGCCGCTGCAAGGAGAGGCTGTGAGAGCTGGGGTGGAGAAGGCTTGAGGGATTCTCAACCATGTGTACAAACTCCTGATGAGGCCAGGGAGGGTAAATATGATGGAGCCAGGCTCCTCTCAGTGGTGCCCAGTCAAAGCAACAGAGGACACAAGCAAGAAATTACATAAGAAAGAACTTTTTTCACTTCTTAGAAGATTCCCTGAGTTTCAGGCTGTGCTGGTGTGAAACACACCTTCTGTGCTCGTGGCATGGCAGGAAAGCAGAGCCAGTGGCTGGCCCTTCCCAGACTGGTGCACAGCAGGTCCTTGAAGAACAGAAGGGGTTTTGTAAGTGGGCCTCTCCCTGGATAGATGCCATAAAAATGCAGCAAAGGGTGTTGCTGTATTGCACTGCTTAGTTTTAAACATTTTAAACATGTAGCATTAGTCACTTCATCCTGCATGTTAGGACTTACTAACACTGAAAGAAATATCGGAATGGTGTGGAATACAGATCATCCACTTAAGATGTTAGATGATATAATTTTATTTTATGTGAGTATTGTTTGAAATTTTTCATGGCAAGAGCTGGAAATGAGATGTTTACTCTTGCAGTGTGTAGCTGGAGAATATTCAATGCTTGTAGTAGACTTGGAATTTTATTGCTTTGGATCAATCCATAGAGGCACAACCCCCCCTAAGTTAAACTGGACTTAATATGGTGACTTCAGTTGCTGAAGTGCTGCAGTGTTAGTATGTGGTTCCACCACTCTGCCTGTCTCCCTCCTGCCTGCCAAACCACCGCTGTCACACTGGAGCAAAGGTCCTCTCTGCAAAAAAACCTGCTGGCTGGTTCATTTCACTTGGTGTTTATTGACACAAGTATAAAACCAAAATATTTTTGATCCTGAGTCTGTCAAAACATGTTAAATTTGCCATGTTAAGCCAAGATACCGAGTCTTGACTCCTGCACAGCGTCACAGGAATCACCTTTCTTGCTGCTGTGTACTGCCACAGCTGAGGGTAAAATGCCATTGGAGCACATTCCCTACCTGTAGAATTCATATCCGACTAAAGCACTGTACTCTGAAATCTTACATTTGCATTACGTTTTGGTTCTTGGGGATGGTTCTTATGTTGCCAGCATTAATTTCAAAGAAAAACAGGGGAAGGCAAACTGTATGTAGCTAATGGTACTTCTAAGTGTACAAAACTTGCTAAGTCATAGGTCTTAGAGGTAAGATCAATTTGGAATTAATGGGATGTAGAACTAGTGCAACACAGAAAAGTGAAGAATATAAATAAATGAATTCATATATGTAAACACCATGGACTGTTTCTTTGCATTTTTTGTTTCACTTCTTGAAAGCTGTTTCAGTTTTCCAGGAATCTTCTCCACAGTCATGTTTCCACTTTTCAAGGACCTGTCTTGGAGAACTAGGTCGAGCTTCTGTCACAATATGTGCCACCAATTGCAGCTTCTCTTGGCTTTCACCACTGTGTTTGCAGCATAACATTTGCAGAAAACCACGAAAAAAAGGTCTTGATAACTTTACAACTTGTCCTTTATTTTCACTGTGGACTGGAGAGTCCACATTGGTAAGGTTTTCATTTTTTCTGTTCTAATCTAAGAAAACAAGAGGTGATACCAGTAATTGTTGGGGAATATGACCCTGACTAAATTCAGAAAAAGAGTCTCTAGAGCCTGCAGCCAGAAATGGAGAATTGTGTGATAATCATTCGAACACCTCAATGTGCGTCTTGAAAGTAAGCTAGAATGTGAAAATGGGCTGACAGAGGTAGTTTGCTTCTGTGTTCAGTTCAGATGATTCTACATCTTTTGCGTTGGTATAAAAGAATAGCACAATCATTCCATTATAAACACCAGAACAAGCTGGACCCAACAGAGTAGATGACTGAAAGAATGCGAAAGGAGAAATGCAGGGAATGACTTGGTTATCTTTGTCTGTAAGAAGGGTAAATTTTCTAATAATTTCTAATACATCCCCCCTGCTTTTGACCTTTGTAACAAGGCCATTTGCATCACAGATTGGTCCTGAGGTGAGAACCCTGAGCTTATGTAACTGCATGAAAGGTGACCTGTTCCTCTGCAGTGACACTCGAGTTGCAACAGGAGCAGGGCACTTGAGCACTGTCTTGGGAAGCATCATGGAAGGCAGAGTTTGTGGGGTGATGGGAGAGAAGGAGGGGGAGAGTGATGTGTGTTGTGCAGAAGGAGCAGGAAGTTTGGGCCGCAGGACATTCCGCCTGCGCCGCTACCCCGCAATCGTTGGGCGTGTCCACAGGGTTCCGGACCTGGCAACGCGTACGCTGAGCTCCCTGACACTTGGAGAGCTCACCTGGGTGGTGTCAGGTTCCTGCTGCAACTCTGCAGCAGGCTGTGCTCCAACAGGGATCACCAGCAGCTGAAAAGACATCTGGACATCTACATTTTCCACTGCTAGGAAGAAGCAATGAAGCAAGTCGAGCAGTTGTGGTTTTTTTGTCTCCTGCTGGATTTTTTAATTTCATTTGACCCTACAGAGGCAATGTCTGTGACAGCCTCTGTAAGTTTGTTCTATTTCAACAGCACCAGCAACAGGACTGTGTTTGAGCGCTGCGAATGTGGCCTGTATGGCTTCAATTCTCCTCGACTCAGTGCCCAGGGGCTTGTGGGCATTCCAAAATCTGAGAATCATCAAGCCTGTGACAAAAATACTGAGTTCACTGTCACGAGCGAGCCGTGGATAGCACTGATCGAAAGAGGCGATTGCAATTTTACTGAAAAAATTCAGATGGCAACCAGAAAGGGCGCAACAGCAGCAGTGATCTACAATTCACAGGGCAAAGGCAACCACCCCCTCGTGATGTTGCATCCTGGTGAGTAAAAGGGTGTGAAGAGCTGAAATGTGGCCATTTCTTTCTCTGCAGTTGGGTTCAGGACAGCACAGCTGGGCTCTGAGGAAACAGGGATGTTTGTGGGTGATGGTTGCTCTCATCCAGAAATTCAATGGGGAAAACAATGTATTATGCAATTTGAGCCTTGACTTGAGTGCTTAGTAAGAAAGACCCTGCTGTTAAGTTCTGAGCTTGGTGCAGTGTAGCCAAAGGGTTGAGTCTCTGAAGTTAGTACTGCTTTTCACTTGCAAATTATTTTAGAGAGTGATGTAGAGAAAGCCTTGGTGTCTGCTTTGAAGACACAGTTTATTTTTCGAGGTTAGTGGACACAAATGAACCCACAAGTGTCTGCAGCATAGGTATGTGCTTTGCAAGCTAGATCTTGCCTTTTTTTTTCTACATTGTTCTAATTCTGAATAGTGCCTAAGCTCAGTCACAAGCTACATTTTCGTATCTTAATTTTGTTTTCAGATGGCTTAAAAACTTGGGATACTTCAGTGCACACCTAGTTTTCCTACTCTGGAGCAAGTCATCTGACCAAGCCCCTTCCATGAAAACACCAGGGCTAAACATCCCTTTGGAGGCATTTGAGGCTGAGCAGATTGGCTGGTGTTGATTGCATAAAGCTTGGTTATATTTTCAGGGGGGTGTTAAGTTCTTCGCTGCGCCTACATGGAACAGGTTTCAAAACAAAACCACATCTCTCTGATTGCTTATAGATTTACTTCTGATTATAGCTAGAGCTGTTACTTTTGAAATAAGTTTTCTACTTAAATGTGGAATGAGCAAATGAGAGGTTTGTTTAGGTTAGGACAAAAAGGTTCACTTAGTAAGCTTTGTGTATTTAGCAGTATTGATCTTGAGCAAATTGCTTCATCTGCTCTTCATTACCTGCTCTGCACGCCGCTATTGCAGTAGCAAAACCAAACCAATCTCCCTGGGCTACTGAGCTTCCAAAACCTGTAGCTGCTGTGCTGGAGGGGGTGGATGCTGGTGGACAGGGTTGATTTTGAAGTGGAGCGGGCTGGTTCCGAAGCCCCACCCCTAGGGAGGCCTTCAAACCTGAGCTGGGTTTGACTGTGTAACGCTCAGTGTGATGCTCTTAGAACAGGGCAAGGGATGGGAAATGGGCAGTGCAGGTGGACAGCCAGTTACTGGTTATCAACCACATGGATTCAGACTTATCCCAACGCCTGGTGGAAAAGCTAAGCAGTTCAACTAAGGGTTGAACTCTGTGTTTACACTAATTAATTTGGCAATTGCATAGGCAGCAGCTGATCTTGTGCCATGCAATCACTGCCCAGGAATATTCCTTTCTCAATGATGAGGTCCCACCCAAAGTCCCAGCCTGCACGTAGTGACATGTGGCTGCATGGGGATGTGTTTGAGCAGCTCCTGGGGCTGGGGGCAATTCCTGCAGAGCAGCTGATAGGAGCAGAGCCTCTCAGTCAGAAGAGTGGCTCTGTGGAGAAGAGGAGCTTGAAATGTTGTTGTTTCTCCTATTATTTTCCTTTGTTGCCTCAAATTCCCTGGGAGGGCTCTACAGCCTGTCACGCTCATGGTTACAGTGACTGCCATCACTCTGACCTCACTGCCTGATGTGGGACAACCTGGCAAAAACGTGTATGTGCCAGAGCAAGGGACTGGTGCCTGCAAACTGGCTGCCCTAGAAATAACTGCAAGGCCCTGGAGAAACAGGACTTCTAGTTGCAAGCTCCATAGATCAAATAATAATTAACCACACAAACACAACTAGTACATAAATAGAAAAAGGGGTTGTTGGCTGAAGTGACAGGTTTATAGCATCTGTTGAATGACAGGGGCACCAATGGCCGGTGAGTGAACAGTGCTAACTCAGTACTCCACAAGCCAGCTCCCCGGCAGGACTGACATGGCTCGCTGTGGAATGTTCAGCAAACATGAACTCGGCGGCGGGAAGTGGCTGTTTCTCGGCCGGGCACCACATGCTGGTGCCTCTGTGCCTGTGGGGCGTCAGGGGGTCGCCCGTTCCAGGGGTCCCCACAGCCAGCCCCCGGTGCTCCGTGGGCTGTGGGCACTGGTGCGGGCTGGGTGAGGAGACTGCTGTGCCGGGTGGTGAAGGAGGGGGTGAGCCCCCCTTCCTGAGAGGCACGCGGGGGGTCATCCATCACCCCGAGAGGCGATGTCAGCAGGAGCCATCAGTTGTCAGAGGTGACCCGGGTGGGTGACCCTCCGCGTCCCCCCGGGAAAAACGTGTTGGTGACGCACTGCCCCGGGAGGGGATCCGGCGAGGGGGACGCCTGGATGCGCACCCCGCTCACCACCGTCGGGGCCGCAGCGCTCGGGGGTCTCCGTTCCGGCGGGGGTCGCGGCGGGGCCGGGGGTTCCCTGCGGGGCCGCGGCGGCGGGCGGTGCGGTGCGGGGGGCGGGCCGCGGCGGGGGCGGCCCCGCTCCTCCCCCGGCAGCCGCGGCGGCGGCTTTAGGCGGCGGCGCGGCCGGGCCGGGCCGTGCGGGGATGCCGTCGGGGGCCGCGCTGCTGGCGCTGGCCGCGCTGCTTTGTGCCGTCCCGCCGCCCGGTCCCCGCGGGGCGGCGGCGGCCGCGGCCTGGACCGCCTGGCTGAACGTGTCGTGGGAGAGCGGCGCGGACCGCAACCGGAGCGGGTGGGAGGCGGGCGAGAGCGGCCTGTACGGGCTGGACTCGCCGCTGCAGTCGGCCGAGGGGCTGCTGGTGCTGCCCGACAGCCCCGACGCCTTCAACGCCTGCAACGCGCTCACCAACTTCAGCGGGGCCCCCCCGCCCGGCGGCGGCTCCCCTGGCTGGCTCGCCCTCATCCAGCGCGGCGGCGGCTGCTCCTTCGCCGACAAGATCCGCCTGGCCGCGGAGCGCGGCGCCGCCGCCGCCGTCATCTACAACTACCGCGGCACCGGCAACGAGGTGCTGCCCATGTCCCACCACGGTGAGCGCCGGGGGCGGGCGGGCTTGGGCAGAGAAGGGTCCCCGCGCTGGGAGCGGTGCGGGAACGGGGCACTGCCCGGGCTCGGCCCCCGCCGCACATCCCAGCGCGGCTCCTCAGTAACAGCCGGGAATGTCCCAGCCTCTCCCGCACCGGGGGAGTTTCTGGCCGGTGCTGTTCCGCGCGCTGTGGCTGCTGTTGGTTTTCCTCTGATTAATGAGTAACCATTCGCGAAAGCTGCGGCGGTGGCTGGGGCTAAGGGCGAGCGGGCTCTCCCCGAGCGCTCTGTCCGGGCCGAGCCCGGGCTGTAGGTGTGCGGGGCTGGCGATGTCTCCACTTGGTTTGGGTTTCTGGCCTGAGCCGGTATCCGCCAGCAGTGGTGGATGCTGAGGTTTTTAAAGCTTGTTAGGTGTGTGGAGTTGATTTGGGCCGTGAAATAGGCTGGGTTTCCATGCTCAGACACCATTTCTCCCTATGCCTGCACTAACCAGCTCAGAAAGAGATGGAGCACGAGACTCTCCTGTAGGTAACTTTTCATCAGTAAAATTCCACTTGCAATGGAAGAAGCTGAATCCCTTTAAAGGTTATTTTGCAGTTTAGAGATGCTGATGACAGAGCCCCTCTTCTCTTACTGTTGAAAGTCTCCCACTTGCCAGAAGTGTTTTGGTTTTTTTCCCTGACCTGCCCATCTTTCAAATGAAGAATGAGATTTGACTGTGTTTAGGCTAATGTTACCTGCAGCACTAGGCTGAAGGCTGTGTAAATGCCTTCTGGTGACAGCCTGAGCAGGGTGAGTGGCTTTGGTGGCTCTGTCCAGCTGTTTGACAGATGCGCACACACCTGCTGGGCATGTTGGAATTCTGTGAAGTGGTGCTGTTTTGTAAAGCCACATCTTCTGGAGTGAAATAAAAGAGTGAAAAAAAGAAAATGGTGCGTCTTTAAACTTTGAGTGGTTAAAAAAATAGTTACATCCTTGCAGGACCCCTCTTAGAAGGGGTGGAGAGGATTTCTGTCTGTTAGCTATGAAGGCAAGTGTTCTGGTGAGACAAGGAAACAGTAGCTGCCTCTGGATTTTCACTGTGTGTAATCTTAATGAACTGTAGGACTGTTGGTACTCTGCTTTAAGAATTCAAAACATACAGTCTGGACAGGCCTTTCTGAGGTAGAGCTTTCTTATGTAATCAAATCATCAGCTGACAAATGCTATTGAGATCTGGCTATTGCTGGGCGAGTTCCTCCTGCTGAACTGACGGGAGCATCCCTGCCTTGAGCCCTGTTCACTGTGTGCCTGCCTAATCCTGCAGCTCTTGGAGGAGCTCCCTTGGCACTGCTGGCTTGGGTAGGTCACTGCTGAACCTGTTCTTGAGGGGAAGGGCTATGTGCTCCTGCCCTCTCCTCCATCCTGGCTGCTGGGAGACTTAAAGCATCTTAACCTTGCCAGGAGCTGCCTCTTGAAATAAACCATGTGTTCTCTGCAGGGTCTGCTCCAAGAGGAGCTCCCTCCTTTTCCTGTGCTGTCCTTAAGCTTTCTGCTGAGGCATTTATGTCAGAGTGGCTCTAGCTGTCCTGATTATCCTGTGTGATGGGTTACTGGCTTCAGGGCATGTTGAAACTTCCCAGCTGAACTGCAGACAAATAGGACAGGGACTGCTTGGAGAAGACAGCTTCTGTCAAACCACATATTTAATCTGCGTGACTCCTCCTTGCCATGTCCTAGCACAATTACTGGGCTAAGCTTGTTGCTGCTGTTGCTTGTCCTTGTTTTAGTCCCTCACTTTCTTTCCTGTTCCAACCTCCCTTCTTCTCTGGGCTTGAGTTCTTCCTCTAGCACCATGTTTGTCTGTGAGTCCCTGTTCTTGCCTCTTCCCACAGCAGTGCTCTTCCTTCTGCTTACGGGGCTTTGGTGACATGCTGTGCTTGGGCCAGTCCTGCCTTCTGCTCCTTCTGGGAGCCAGTGCTCTCCAGCCAAACTTGACAAACATTGCAGGCTTTGAACACAGCCCAGCTGAGGTGAAGCGAGCTACAAGTCACCAGCCTCACTGAGTTTGCCAAGTGCAGGATACTGCTTGTGTAATGCTGATGAGGTCAGCCTACAGCACTGCACCTCAAACTCAGGAGGTGAGAGCTGGTCGTACTGCCCTTTGCTGAACTGTGCTTTGGGATGGGTCTCCTGGCCTCTGTTGGTGGCACTGGATGCCCCAGCTCTTCTGGAGGCAGCGTTGAAGGTGGCCCTGCTCATAAAGAACTGTTTTTGTGCCAGTACAGCTCCCGCCGTGGCTGTAACGGCTGTAGCTGTGCTAACGGTGACTTCACAATCTGAGTTTCCTCATTGGCTTCAATTCTGCTCTAACTGGGGCTATCATATGCCATCAAGTGAAACCAGACAAAGCCAAGCACTTCCTCCAAGCTGAGGCAATGGGAAGTAGTGGGGAGATGTCTTTGCTGGGGCAAAAGCCTCAGAGCTTTGACATGCCTGGGGTAGCATCTCCTCCTGCCAGCAGTGCTGAGGGCAGGAGCTGTCATCTGCCTGGCAGAGAAGGAAGATCTCCTTCTCTGATAAAATATATGGGGCTTTGATAAAATATATGGCACAACATACTTTTCTTTACAGAACCTTGGTAGCAACAAAACATGAAGTTAGTAAGAGAACCTTATCTGAAAGTGCTGTGTGTGTTTTTCTGGGGCTGTCAAACTTGGCTTTTTTAGCA